ACAAAACAAAAATATCTACTTTTTATCCTAATTTAAGTACATACTAAAATAAAAATAAACAATATTTTATTCAATATTGATAAAAGAAAACTAAAATATTTTCATGTCTTATGGGGTAGTTTAGTATCACTGTTTTGGATTTAATAATTCGTTTTTTTCTTTTTTTTAAGCTTTAATTCTATCAAAGAGCTGTTACTTTTCTTTAGTGATTAGTTCTACTGCAATAAAGACATATATTAATTATGTTCTTTACAGTATTCAATAGTTTTCCAATATCCACATTTCCCTTTGAAATTAGCGTTTCCAAATTGTTAATTTTGTTTTGATCATCAATTCGCTAATTTTGATCACACAACCATAGAGTAGGCAACCTAGATACAAACTGATATTTTTGTGTTTTTATCATTACGAAATTATGTGGCAATTTTAAATATTAACAAAACAAAAAATGACAAATTTCAGGACAAGACCAATTTTATAGGACATTTAGGACAGAATGCTGAATTTTAGGAGTTTAGGACATTTGAGAGCCGTGCATACCCATATGGGGCGCAGTTTTATTTTTTGTTCAGGAATTATTTTTATGTCTTAACACTAGAGTCATATTTTCAATTAAAAAAAAAATAATTTTTTTTCAGCGAATTAATAATACCTACCTATCATGCAAAGCTGGCCAAGTACTGAGTACTTTTACTCGTATTTCAATTACGAGTAAAAAAGTACGAGTTCTTTTTTATTTGAAATACTTATTACACGTAGTTACAAACCAAATTCAATGTACTCGTAAAAAATACTCGTGGAATTCACGAGTAATATATACGAGTATTTCCGTTTATTGTCTTTTTGCCAAAATATCGAAAGAATCAAAACATTTTGTATTATATAATTTAAAACAGACTTCCATATATATGTATTATAGCCTATAGGTTTTATAACAAGTATATAGTAGGTAAAATTATAAACTATGTATTTATTATTTTATGGTATGTTTTATAAATTATGCTTACAAGGAATCGAAAAATAAATTCATATAAAGGGTGTTCCATTGAGAAAAAATAAACTTTTTGTTTTTCCCTGTATACTGATCAATTTTCCAAATTTTATATACGTACAAAAAAAGTATTTTTTAGTACCTACATGACCAAATTTTTTAATTTTTTGGGATATTTAAAATAAAAAAAAATTATAGGGAGACATTATAGGGGAGCACGCTGTACCTAATGTATAAAATAAATAATTTTAGATCCATTTTCCAATTTTTATATACGTAGAAAAAAAGTATTTTTAGTACCTACTTAACCAATTTTTTTTATTTTTTGGGACACTTAAAATAAAAAAAATATAGCGGGGAGACATTATAGGGAAGCACGCTGTACCACGTTGGTACATTTGGCGTTTTCAACTTAAAAAATATATAATCTTCCAAACATTTTTTTTTAAATAGTGATATTATTAGCTTTACTTTGTAAGAAAAATTAAAATCGCGTATGTAGCCGTTGTGGAGATATACACTTAAATGTATTTTTTTTATAAATTAATGCGCAACAATAAGCTTAACATGTGTTCTAGTGAAAATGACCACAGCAATTCGCTATCTATATACATTTATATATATATACAGGGTGTTTCTTTTAACTTGAGACAGCTCAATATCTCGAGAAATACGCATTTCACGGAAAAATGTCATAAATAAAAGGTTAATGTGACTAAAGGGGACATTATTTGGTGCTACCGCTAGCCACCCCCTACCCCTCCTTAAGGGTGAAACGGGGGGTAACTTTGGAAAGTCAAATGGAATGACCCGATTTTTTTCACAGAGTTTGGTAGTACATAAAAAAATAAATAACTTTTATTTAAAACTTTTTTCAATTTATCAACAGATGGCGCTGTAATTCAAAATTTAAGAAAAATGAGTTTTCTTGTAAAATTTATTATTTGAAACGTTTGAAAAACAAAAATTAACATTAACAACAATAGTCGGCTATGAAAACAATTTATAACAAATGTTCGAAATGTCGTCATTCCATTTCAACACATTTTTGAATGCGGGTAATGAATTCTGGCACACAACGCGCCAACATATCGGGCGGTATCGCCGCACAGGCGTTCCCGATCCGCTCCACCATGTCCTCCCAAGTTGCAGGAATTGCAGCGTAAACTTTTTCTTTCAAGTAACCCCACTGGAAGAAGTCTGGTGGCGTAAGATCAGGTGATCGAGCAGGCCAAATTACTGGACCACGTCTACCGATCCACCGCGGTGCACCGGCCATTGAACTCCCGATCCAACACCTCTCGAGCAATTGTCGAATAATGTGCAGGACAACCATCTTGCTGGTACCACATGTTTTGGAGCCGTGCTAGTGGTACATCCTCCAAAAGGTTCGTCAGATCGTTTTCTAGAAAATTCCGGTACTTTTCGCCATTTAATGCACCGTCAATAAAGAAGGGTCCGATTAATCGTTCGCTTAAGGTACCGCACCAAACGTTTACCGACCAGGGACGCTGGTGCTCCACTTGGTGTCGAAATGGAAGGACGACATTTCGAACATTTGTTATAAATTGTTTTCAGAGCAGACTATTGTTGATTTAATGTTAATTTTTGTTTTTCAAACGTTTCAAATAATACATTTTACAAGGAAACCCCTTTTTCTTAAATTTTGAATTACAGCGCCATCTGTTGATAAATTGAAAAAAACTTTCAAATAAAAGTTATTCATTTTTTTATGTACTACCAAACTCTGTGAAAAAAATCGGGTCATTCCATTTGACTTTCCAAAGTTACCCCCCGTTTCACCCTTAAGGAGGGGTAGGGGGTGGCTAGCGGTAGCACCAAATAATGTCCCCTTTGGTCACCGGCGTCGTGGTCTAAGAGCCTTTTTGATGATGGTTTTGGAGAGTCCGTTTTGCTGTAGCGTCGTTTGGAATTTCAGGTCTTCTTGTTTCTTGTGGTCATCATCCGCCAGCCTTTCGCGTGACAAGTGTCTTAATGATTGACTGCAGTTGTGACGGGTGGTGGTGAGACTGGGCGTGTGCCATTATTTATCTTGATTATGAAGACATCCAGAAAAGGTAATTGGTGTTCTTTCTCGGTTTCCATTGTGAACTTAATCTTTTTGGGAATTCTGGTCCAGGAATTTCTTCAGTTTCTCTTCTCCGTGGGTCCAGATGACAAATGTGTCTTTTACATATCGTAGCCATAACTTTGATTTTGGTGTTGCCGTTTCGATTGCTCGTACTTCTATGTCTTCCATGAATAAGTTGGCTATTGCTGGCGATATTGGGAAATTGACTTTGAAAAAACAAGGGTCTTGGCTAGCATCGAATACAGAACCAAACGTTCCATTCGTGAAGCCATTGAAATAGGAAAATGTCCAAAAAACCTCAATAAAAGAGGCGATACACAGAGACTATGCTTAATGTTGCAAATTAATTTATAAAAAAATACATCTTCACAACGGCTACATACGCAATTTTAATTTTTCTTGCAAAGTAAAGCTAATAATATCACTATTTAAAAAAAAATGTTTGGAAGATTATATATTTTTTAAGTTGAAAACGCCAAATGTACCAACGTGGTACCTAATGTATAAAATAAATAATTTTATAAATTTGTACTTTTATAGCTCAGGACCAAAGTAGGTAGAGGTATAATGTATAAATAATAATCAATTATTATTAATTTTTAAAGTACTCGTACTCTTTACTCGTGTTTTCACGATTACTACTCTTAACCGTAACCTCTTTTTACCAAAGTACTTACGAGTAAATTTATGAAGTACTCGTACCGAGGGGTAAACTGCTGAGGTAATTTGGTGTACAGGCTTAAGGTAATACTAAGGAAATACGGGGTAGTACAGGGTAATATACAGAAAATACTGGGTAATACTTTATAATGCAGGCAATACAGGGGTAATACGTGAAATACTAAGGTAATACAAGGGAAATACGGAGGTAATACGAGGGAAATACAGAGGCAAGTCAAGGGTAATACTGAGTAAATACAAATTAAGCGTATAGATGGCGTTTCTCAAGGCGTTTCCCAATACCTTACTTACTAACCTTACTTTTTTAGTCTACCCCGTAGTCTAGTTAATGTGTAATTTTTGAATACCTACGAGTACCTACATATGCAGATAAATAAAAAGGTACCTAAGTTATATACCCATCAATATAATGTAGGCTGTAATAATATTGTTAGTAGACTAATATCTAGGCAAATATAAAACCAGTTTTTAAAAAAGTAGCAACTAGTTAATTGTAGGTTTCACATTTTTAAGAAATTCTATAGTAAAGGAATATCAGGGTTGGAAAAATCCCGGGTTTTTTAAATAAATCTTAACCCATTGGGCTTTTTTGGGTTTTTTAATTCTATACGGATTTTAGTGAATAACAACAAAAAATCAAATATATTAACTACATTATCCTTATACTACATTATACTTATACTACATTATACTTATTTTCGCAGTCGTTCGTCGTTCGTTATAAAATGCATAAATAATATAAATCAGCAGGGGAACCCCCGAACTTCAAAATTACGTTTTGTTTAATCGTTTCTTTGTATTCTAATATATAAAAGCAGTTTTAGAGTGTACTGCTTTTGATTAAATACTATTTTAAAAAATAAAACAACACATTAAACTATATTTTAATGTGTTGTTTTATCTTTTAACAAAAAAAAGTATACACAAATATCAAAAATATAAAATGTTTACCACCAGGAGTTGAAGTTTAAGAAAAAAACATTTTTTTAAAACCCTGCGGGCCTTTTTAAATGGGTTCTACCAAAAAAACCCACTGGGTTTTTTTGATTTACCCACAGGGCAGCCAACCCTGAAGAATATTCAAAAGAATACCTACTGTTCTACCACGTAAATTTACTTGATAAACATATATACATACTTTACTACTTTTAATTTTACTCGAAGCTGATTTCTTTATATCATCATCATATCCATATCAAGTAAAAAGATATCGAGTTTAAAGATTTTTTAGAGAATATGGGAAAAACAACAATCATGAAAGGGGATGAGCTGGATAAATTAGATATTGAAAGTGTGGTACAATTAGCTTTAAAGGATGCACTGAATGACTTGAAGATATTTGGTGTAAATTATATGGTGGACGAATGGAAATACCTGGGTATACCATTAATAGATATAGAAACAAAGCAGAACACTTGGCAGGACATCGACCAGAATGAGCCTGTTGAGTTCGAAATGGATCAACTTCATAGTGACATTAATGAGGTTCGAGGTAATTTTGACCTGTTTTTTGAATAGACACAGAAAGAAGATTTAAACAACATTTCCGATCTGCATTTAAAAGACTATTCTAAAAAAGTTTCAGAAATAAAGGAGAATTCTCCTTTTGTACAAACTAAACTTAAGGACAAAGACATTATTGTTAAAAAGTCGTCATTTTGTTGGCTTCTTGACGAAAATAACGACAAGGTGAGCACATACCGTTTAAAAAGATTTATTGTTAGGAAAAGTGAACATAAAAAAATCTCTAAAAAAACCCAAAGGAAAAAATCCTCCAAACGAATTTTGAATAAAAAGACAGAAAAACAGATCAAACCATCATCGTCCTCAACCAAGTCCTCAACATCTACTACTGATGATGAGCAGGTCGAACTGGATGACTCAACCGACAATGAAACATTTAGTTCAGAATTGGGTTCAGATTCGGAACCCCAACCGAAAATTTCTAAGGTCGAAACCGAGATAGAAACCCTGGAAGTTAATTAAGAAAGTTACTATGCTGTGTTCTTTGACGAAAAATGGTATCTTGGCCGCATAATCGAAAAATGCGACAACGATAATTTTAAAATGAAGTTCCTAAAGACTGAATTGGACCATTGTTTGGCCACGACCAGATGATGTAACCATAATAAATAAAAGGTATATTTTCTTTGGGCCTGTGCAATTGTTGGGAAATGGTCCATTTCAATTAAAACGAGCTGATGTGCTTCAAATAAAACAAAAATATAAAATAATTAAAAAACTATAATTTTTTTTGTCAATTTTTCATTTGTTTTTGAATAAACTTTTTTTTCCATGGTTTTTTTTTCCTTTACACTCGCCTTTTCATTTACTTTACTTTTTTTCCTCTTAATTTTATCGAAATCTACCTCTAGCTTCATAGCAGGGGGAGCGTTCAAGTATTACGTAACTATCTAAGGGGAAGGGGGGGGTCAAAAATTTCGAAAAACTGCGTAACGTAATACATGGGTATAAAAGCTATGGTAATTACAATATTTGGACATGTGGAAATTTTATTAAATCTTGACAAATTTTAAAAAAGAAATAAAAATTAAAGGGTAATACGGGAAATACTTGGGTAGTACTAGTATTTTACAGGTAATGGCCAGGTAATACTGGTATTACAGGGGTAATGCAAGGTAATCCCGGGTAATTTTATTGTATTACTCAGGAAATACTGGGTACTACAATGAAAATGGGAAATGGTGTACAGCTTTTTACTTAGCGGTTTACCCCTCGACTCGTACTTAAAATTTTACGAATACTTTTTTTTAGTACTCGTGTCCAGCTCTGCTATCATGGCAGATATTTTAAAATTAGATTTAATATTTATGCTAAACTGATATTTTTTAGTTAATTTAAAATATTAGCTTCTTATTTTTTTGCTAAACACATATTTTTAATTCGATAAATTAAAAATACCATAAAAGAAATTTTTAAATGTATTAAATATATGGGAGATATTTTCAATTCGATTTAATTTTTATTTTATTAAAAAAGCAGATATTTTTTGTTGAATGTGATATTTTTAATTTCGACTGATTGAGAGTTTGGATATACCTGTTATTCCAAACGCCACAAAAACCGACCCACTTTAACAACAAACTAACGTGCACTGTCCTTGTTCAGCACACGCTGAGTCAGTGCGAAATCGGACTCACGTACGTCGTAGATCCCAGTGATTGAACCGCCATCTATCGACATAATTAGTTTGGAATAGTAGGGGTGTCCAAACTTTCAATCTGAATTTAAAATTAAAATGAATTATAAATATCTCCTGATATTATTAATTAAAAAGGAATTTTGTTATATAGAAATTTTTAAGAGCTTTTCAATAAGGTATCACAAAATTGAGTTGGGTGGCTTAGTGAAGGTCATACTGATTAACCCACATATCCTAGAAACGGGTTTGAGAAATTTTTGATATCTTTTTTAGGCCCAGGCATATATTCGAATTTAGCACATCAACCTTCACAAAGTTGCGTTCATACTTTTATCACTACTTTATCTATCTGGCGATATCAATTTTTCCAGGTCAAGTCACCTTTAACAGGGCAACGTACCTTTATACCTTAACATCCTTATCGTATTTTTTCCAAAGTTAAACTATGAAAATAAAAATGCTTACAATTAGTTACACGGAGTTTCAAACTTAATTTAAAATTCCAATATTACGTAATTCGCTTCATGAAACAGTCGCTACACCTTTACGATCCAATTAACTCCAGTCAGTCTCTCTTTGTGCAAATTGCACTGGATTTTCGTAATTTATTCAGGCGATATAAATTCGCTCGGGGAGCGTCTTATGGATCCTCTTCTTGTATTAGGTATTTGAAGTTTCAAGTTTTAATTGAAATCGTCACCAGCAGATGCCGTCGTTGAGTTTATAACTATCTAAAAGTTTAATAGGTATTTTGTCACCAGAGAGGTATTTTGCAGAATAAGTCGAGAGGAACACACCAAATTTTTGTTTTCAAATTATATGGAGCTTTAAATCATGGCAGTGGTGGTTCTATTACTTGGCCTCCAAGATCTCCAGACCTCAAACAATTGGTCTAAAAATCCATTTTCGGATTTCCATTGATTTTAACTTTTTCTATTTTTGCAAGCAGACTGAAAAAAAAACCTTTTGTAACATGAACTTTTAAACGCAAAACATTTTACCTACGTGTAGGCAACATTCAAAGAGCATTTAACTCTTTGTAATATTGACAGATAACATCCACTCTAGTGCACCAGTTACGTTAATTACAATACAGCGAGGTTTGCGTGCCTTATCTCAACATTAGCAGTTAGTTACTGTTCGAAATGATTTACAAATTATTCGTAAACATACGAACAGATACCGGAAAATATTTTACACTCGCATAAATCAAATAGAAACATTAAACACAAATTGCTTGCGAAACGTTTTACGCATACACTGGTCGGCCTTTGAGTTTTGCTTTTGACAGTTTCATATTTTGTATCGCCATTGTTGTTAATTAGTTCCATATATCGGGTCGTATTATTATTAAATAGAAACACAATCGCTTTTGTATAGGCGACATGGTATTTAGAAATTTTGTTATTTATTTGTGAGTTTTATGATTTGGGTGGCAAAAATATTATGAATATTGGCCAAGAATTGTTATTTAATACCATTATGTTAAACATATATTAAATACATGTATATGGCAAGAAGCATCAAAATTAGGGATTTTTTATTTCAGACTGTTGGCAACTTTTAATTTTCATGTCAACGATGTGTTAAAACCTCGTTTTTCTAGTTTTGTTAAACAAAATTATATAATAAAATGTGAATGCTCTTTGTTTTTGTTTTGTCTTTTCTAGTATTTTTATAGTAATTTTAATTTTCTACGTTGGCACCCCGATAAAAAAACCTTTGAATTATTATTCGTGAAACATATACGGAGCACTTTTCAACTGCTTCCGGTTTCCGGTCAGGCAGCATCCGACAGCCTGCAGTATACGCTTAATTGCAGCGGACAGCGTTGCCACACTTCAATAGACCAATTAATTTACCTTTGTTCGCGTTTTAAATTTTTTTTTACAAGACCTAATTTTTTAAAATTAATTTGCTGTCGAAAGGAAAATTGTTTTTGAACCAATAAAAACGCAGTATGTTGCTACATCACAATCACAAATATCAATGGTTTAGCTGAAAAAGGCAAAAAAACCTAACATTTTAAATTTAAAGCTCTGTAAAAAATCAAATAATGAAAATAGAAATTCGGCTTAATAAGATTTTTTTGTCCAAATTTAATGCTTTGTAGGAATTAGTCATGGATTTTATGAAAAAAAAAATCTTCCTAGGTTGCAAGAATAAATAAGGTAAAAAAGTCAGTTTTCTGTGTTATTTAAGCGGAAAAACTTCAGATTCGATGAAGGACCTCTTAAAATTGAAATTTTGAGCTCCGCTTTTAACAGAATATTTGTTCGGACATATTCTACGATATTTTGGGTGGAGAGCAAGACAAAAAATATCGAGATTTTTTGGCACACCCTAATATATATATATAAGATTAAGATCTAGATATATATTACCAATGTATACATTGGTAATAAAGGAATGCATGAGTGTAAATTTAAATACGCCTACCAAAAATACTATAGGTAATATCGGGTAATATTAAAAGATAATTAATCCTAATAGGTTTTACTTAAACATTTTAAAATAAATTTTCAAAATGTTCTCCTACTTTTGACTTTAATAAGTTAATATAAATAACGCTCGGGCAATTTTAAAGCATACTGCATGCCTTAAGCCAAATACGTATACAGAATGTTTAAATGCTTGCTGTAACCTCACAAAATGCACCATATTTGTATTGTAATAAAAAACAGTAAGTATTTTAATATTACAAAAAATCTACCTGAAAAGTTATTTCATGAATTCATGACATCACCCAATTTCATCGAATTCATACGCATAAAAAATACTTAGATTGCAAACCTCTGTAATTAAACGCGTTTTTTCCAAATACCCACAATGTGGGTTGATAAAAATAACTCGTAAAAACTCTTAATGACTCATAAACCCGATTTTTTTTCGATTATTATCTCATTTCACATCCATGCCGTTGGAATAAAAAAAATCTGTTTTTTAATTAAGCAAAAAATGCAAATTTACAGACGTTTTATTTTAACCTTTCTTACGAAACGAACAAAAGATTTCATGGAATTTATTTTATTATTAAAAATCAAGTCATCCGTCAATCTAACCTTAAATACTGCTGTCAGAATACAATATATAACCTCAGAATTAATCAAAATTGCATACATTGAGCGTTGGGCGCATTTTTAGTTTGGTTTTAATTTTAAATTTTTTTTAACCGTAACACGCCGTAACATAATTCATAGCCAATTTCGGCTCGATATAGCTGATTAGGAAGTGGTGTCGAAGAAATTTCACAGACAATATAAACAATTTACCCTAGTAAGAAATTAAATTCTTTTAATTTTTGGACTATGTAGGTATAATAATATTTTAATGTAATTTTTATTTTACTTTAATTTTCCTTGAAGTTGTTAAACAGATCTCACGGTGTCCCTGAATAACTTTTCAGACGTATCCGATTTTTTTTCATATTTTGATAAAAAATCACTTACAAGACAATTTTTTTTCAGGATAAACTCAATTCGCTTGGCACTTTTTTAGAAAAATTAATTTTTATAAAAACATTAATGATTTTTAATCAATTTTTTGAGAATTTCAATACGTGAACTCCAAATAATGACTAACAGCTTTTAATGTATTTGTTACATTAAATGTGCAATTCATTAGACTAGTGAACTATTGACATATGTCACTTGTCACATGTCACATGTCGAAATCGTGATTGAAAATACCGCTGCGTTATTTTACCGTTTTTTTTCAATTTGTCGCAGATTTATTTATAAATTAGATATAAATAATTATATTTGCATTGATGGTAAATTTTCACTTTAGCGACTTTTCCGAAAAACGGCAGGAAAGTTGCCAA